GTACTTCAAGTCCGGTGCAAAAACGCATGATCGCACGGGCCCGCCCGGTGCGTCCCAGCCTGGGTTTTTTCTTGAGTTTATAACCCAGTTGTCTAATGACAAATTAGTTTTCTCTAGCATTGTACGTCCCAGAGGTATAAAAGTAAGATGATTTTAGATGTCTGGTTTTATACGAGGGAACAGAAAGAGATAAGGGTTAAGTCTCAAACACAATCAGAGACTCTGTAGCCAAAATCAAGTCTGCTGCCTTTTTGACACATGAATTATAGTGAAGACGGGGACGGCCTAAAAGCTGGTTTTAGATTCATTAGGCCTAAAGTGTCACTGAGGAGGTAGCATATAGAATTCAAACTTTCTAGCTTTCATGTTTCCGGAGTTAATGGCCAAACAGATAATTACACGTTCATAGCTTGGTCTCGTTATAATGCATTTTTCGCACCACAGACGCAGCCAAAAATTCGTATATGGAGGTTTGAAAAAATTATGCAAATAAATCCTTGGTTTGCTTTGAATTAACATTTCGTTTTGGAAGCAGTCTAAATTGAAACGTACGTGTACAGAATTTGCCGGCATAGTCACGCCAGCACGAGCATTTGTATGAATCCTCCAGGCTAATGCAATCGCCAGACACACAACTATGCCCAATGCACTGATCCTTCACTGAAATCGATGCATAATCTCACCAGCAAAAAAAAAACCAGATGTCATTTCTGACTGCCAAGATTTGTTCTCGTAACTGAATGGTCCTCTTTACCCTTGCTTTTTCGTCTCTCCCTCTCTTCTTTCCCTACCAGTCCATAATGAACGAAGCACATCTTCAAATTGCTGAGGGTTCAACGTTTTCCGAAAAGATGGCCCTAAGCATACAGCACTTTGAGAAATTTGGAAGAATAAAATCGGCAACTGAACGAACTTTCGCAAAGCGGCCCAGCCCATCCTCGTTGACAAATACAGCTGAAGCCTGCTTTCGAGGTGCTATTCAGGCGACACCGCGCTTCATTCTGGCAAGGATTCTCGGCGCATTTGTCTAAATTGAAGTCCTTAAGCACGAGCAGTTCTCCACACAGTTTGACTTCACGAAACTCTATTGAAAATGTAGCTTGGGCACTTCTGACGAAACGTTCAGTAAAGTGCTTCACATAAAGTGTTAGGCAAAGGGGGCTCAGCTGAACAGATCTGTCTCACCCGAGTACCTAGATCCCGATTATTGTGCCAGGTGCAAATGATCGAACCCGTTGTTACTTTTAAGCGTCATCGCTGCGCTGATCAGACACAAGTGCAGCTAATCCATGCGTGCTATCTGAAATCCTTCACGATAAAATTTCGAGATCAGCAATAAAAAAAGCAAAATAAGAAGCCACTAATCGTCCTCCTTAGAAGCCAAGGAACAATGGGTAAAATACAATTTGATGAAGTGTTGAAGAAGGAATTACGAACAAAAACAATAAAAACATCGTATTTTCTCACGAATGCGTTGATGAATACTGCTTACCGATCTGCACCGTCGAACCCATCATTACTTTTGTTTTAACCAATTCCCTGTTGAGATTTGCTGCAGAGATCTTCGGGAATCGTCCATCGTAAATGTGATCAATATCCTTTGCTTTTCCGGTCCTCAGTTGCCAAGGTGCTGTGGTCCTCGAAAAACTTGGTAATGTTACTTTTGTATCATTACCATCCCTGCCGGTTGACAACGGCTGTGCAGTCACCTGTTGTTCTAAGATTTCTTCAATTTCGTTTTCATGACGATATGCCAAGTCTCGAAGAGTTTCTGGCATGTGCCTAAACAATTGAGATTTCAAAAGTTTCATCGCGTTGTGGTAAAAGCATTTGACAGTTTCATAGGTGTACACAAAATAACCGGCGGTGACAGAAGAACAAGGTTATGAATCATAAATTATGAATAGTAAAGCTTTCCGGAACACTTATAGTTAATCCACTTATTAAACTATTCATGCTCTTCAGATAAATATGACAAGCTCCGTGTATTTTTCTCAAATCAAGCGTTACTCACAGATGAATGATATCAGTGAACGTATCCCCAAAGAGTATCTTGAAAAGATATTCTTTAGATTCCCTTAATTACAGTGACTGCTAATTCGGTAATAATGAAAGTCATTAGTTCGTTAGTTCAGTCATAATTTTGACAAGCTTGCGAAATCAGTCATGATTTGGTTAACTCTAGGTGAATCCGGATAACAAAAACTATGCAAAATTGGCGACGTGCATCAAGCGGGCTCGAGCGATCATGCATACGTGCTGTAGTGAGATCGCTTGAAATCTCAGCAGCTAGAATTTCTGACACACTGATTCGGGAAGTTAATTGTGCAACCATGTGGTACTTGGACAAGGAATATTAGTTAAGAGCTCTGTTTCTTTGCTTCTCCGGTTCCCGAGTTAACGATTTTCCTGTCAAAAAATTTAACGGATCCGGACGTGAGAGCACATCTACCTGGGGGCTGAATTTGAAATCTTCAAGTTGTATGTGGACTGGCAACATTGCCTTAAAATTTCAGCCTTCCAGCTTTTCTGGTATCCGAATTAGTAATTTTTCCCCTAAAACTTTCATACG